GCTATAAATAACTGTGGAGAGCACCCCGGTCCTGGCAGCGCAGCCTGGCCAGGCAGCGCCCTCCCGTGGGCACCGGTTTACTGGTGCCAGACAATCCCAGCGCCCATCTTTCCAGCCCCATTGCTGCGTTTTGGAGGGGTGATGTGGACTGGGAGGCAGGCTAGGGCTGCCCGATGGTCCCAACTCATCCCTTGCCCTCTTGGCAGGTGCTGGTGCCCACCCGTGTGGGGCAGGTGTACGTCTACGACTCCCCAAAGAGCGAGCAGGATGAGTACGATTTCCCTCGTCACCTCCTCTCCGCAGGCTCCCAGGAGATCTACGATGTGCCGCCTGTCCGAGGGGGTGTCCCGAGCCAGTTCAGCCAGGAGGTGAGGCTGGTTGAGGGGCAGGGAGGTGCCCTGTCACAGCACAGGATCCAAATCTGGACAAATGGCAGCCAAAGCTGGGCATGTCATGAGCCTTAGCGCTGTTTTCGGCACTTCCATCCTTCCCAGGGGTCCCTGGGAGGAGGTGGGACATGCCTGACATGCAGTCCTGTGTCCCCCCGCTCCAGGTCTATGACACCCCACCTATGGCAGTGAAGGGTCATAGTGGGCAGGACCCAGTGCAGGAGATCTATGATGTGCCCCCCAGCGTGGAGAAGAACCTGCACCAAACTGTAAGTGCTGCTGGGGACCTCCCAGCTTCTCTGAATAAGACACTGTATAAGGGAACAATCATTCTCTGCAACAAGATCCCCAGGGATCTGGAGGCATCCTTGACACTGTGAGGGGACACAGCCCTAGATAATCTCATCTAGGGAATGAGGTTGGACTGGATGATCTCTCAAGATATCTTCCATCCTGGGCTGCTCTAGGACTTTGTGATTCCCACCCCAAAGGGGGTGTGGGAGGCTGGGATGCTGTGGCAGGGTTGTGCCAGCCTCCCTGAGGGCAGGGGCGCCCCTAGGTGCATGGCTTCATTCCGGTGCTCACCCAGCACCATCCAGCATCCCTGGAGCTGGTGCTGATGTGCACCCCAGCACAGCACAGCATGCGCTCACATCCCAGTGTGACCCAGGCTGGCTGTCACTGCGGTGCTGATGGTGCCTGCTGCTGCCCTTGCAGGTGTACGATGTACCCCCCTCTGTGAGCAAGGACGTGCCTGATGGCCCAGCACGGGAGGAGACCTATGATGTGCCCCCTGCCTTTGCCAAGCAGAAGGCCTTTGATCCCTCCCGCCACCCTCTCCTGGCCCAGCAGGAGCCCTATTTGCCAGAGGATGTCTATGATGTGCCACCGGTGGCTGGGAAAGGTGCCCCCGATCCAAAATCTACGACGGTCCCCCCAGCCTTAAGAAGCTGGGGGGGTCAGCCTTCTCCTCCCAGGAGGTGTATGACGTGCCCCGGGACCTGCATGCCCCGGGCAAGGGCTCCCAGGACACAGAGGGCGAGTACATCTATGATGTCCCACCACAAGTGGACCGTGAGGCCAAGGGTGCCGATGCCAAGCGCCTCTCAGCCTCCAGCACAGGCAGCACCCGCAGCAACATCTCCACATCCTCACTGGATGTGGTGCCCATGAAGGAGCCGGCCAAGGGAGCCGGCAAGGAGTTCTCCCTGGACTTGGATGCCGCCATGGAGACACTGGCCAAGCTCCAGCACGGTGTTGGCGGCGCCGTCTCCTACCTCATGTCCTTCATCAGTGCCAACTGGCGCAGCCCTGAGCACATGGAGGCCAATGCCACCAGCATCCGTGGGGCAGCTGAGGGTGTCCGGACAGCCCTCCGGGACCTGCTGGAATTTGCCCGGGGGGCGGTGGGCAACGCTGCCCAGGCCTCTGACCGGTCCCTCTACACTAAGCTCAGCAAGCAGCTGCAGAAGATGGAGGAGGTGTACCAGGCCCTGGCACAGCACGGCCAAGCGCTGGACGCTTGCCACTGGGCCCCAAGTGCCCTGGCTGGTGGCAAGTCGGGCACGGATGACTTGGAGCACTTTGTCATGCACTCACGTGGTATTCCCGATGACACCAAGCAGTTGGCCTCCTTCCTGCATGGCAACGCCTCCCTCCTCTTCAAACGGACAAAGCCAGCAGCGGAGAGTGGTGGCCATGGGCCCCCTCACCCCTCTGACAAGGCCAGCAGCATCCAGTCACGGCCCCTGCCCTCCCCACCCAAACTGCTGGCCCAGGAGTCGCCCGACGGGCCCTATGAGAACAGCGAGAGCGGCTGGATGGAGGATTACGACTATGTCCATCTCCAGGTGAGTGCAGGCAGGGGGTCTGCTCCCCAAGGGTGGGTTCTGTGCCGGTGGTCCCTGGCACAGGGTGGGATCAGACAGTTCTGATTGCTCCAGTGCTTCTTTCACCCACATCTTGGTTTTACCCTATGGCTTGAGCACTGTGGAGACCAGGGGTATCCCAGGGCAGCAGAGGGCTTGGTCTCAGCAAAGCTAGTGTTGCTGACCCCCATGTCATGCCCCTTCCTTCTCTGCAGGGCAAGGAGGAGTTTGAGAAGACCCAGAAAGAGCTGCTGGAGAAAGGCAACATCATCCGGCAAAGCAAGGACCAGCTGGAGCACCAACAGGTAATGGGGTGGGTGGGCACTGCTGGGCACAGCTCTCATAACAGGCAGGGTCCTGTGGTCCTGCTCCTCTTGAACCCCCTGCCACTCGCCTGGACCATGGTCCCCTCTTGCATGGTTGTCCCCATGGTGAGTTCTGGCTTACCTCCCATGCCAGCTCTGTGGAGGGGAGAGGAGCCTGGCACAGCTGTTCTGGGGCTGGCACTGCCCTTTGCTGTGTCCTCTGGGGCACAGCTGTCACCCAGGACTGGTGGCCACCACCAGCCATGCTGGTGGCTCCAGGCAGGGGAGCAC